CAGTGGTAGTCTGTATATCCTTTGTCGTTTTAAAAAGAAAAGTTTTCTTTTTTGACTATCGGTGGTGGGTTCTTTGGGTATCGGACATTGACAGTTAGACTTAGCGTTTAGACACAAGGGTTTTTGGCATATCCAACAGGAGTTTGTTTGGTTATATCGTTGTCATTCTTGTGGCGTCCAAGACAGCAGTAGCGAGTTAGCAAACACGTCGTTGATTCCGTCTATTTCTTTGGTTGGGGACTCAACGAATCGCGTGGAAGTGTCTGGGCCCATGATTGTTTCCCAGTTCGTGCAGACACCACCGCAACGACCGACGACGTAAAAATAACCAGACGGCGTATGATTTGCTGCAGCTTTGTCTTTAACGCTTTATTTGTCCAAAAGCCGCTCTCAAGGACCATCGAATACATTGCTGCATCTTTGTTTTCAACTTTATGTTGTAAGTACTTGGGTAGCGGTACGTAAGAACTCTCGGTTAAGGGTTGGTATCGCGTCACGTTAATGTAAAATGCAACGATGATGTCAACGGCCCAACACGACCCTCTCCGCGTAAACGCTTCGATTTTCAGCAACAATTTTTCTCGTTGTTCTTTCGCGTTGTTTGTTTCGCGTCTCGAGAAGTTAACACGGCAGTATTTTTATTTTCAAACATAAACGTTTCTGTGACAAAGTCCCCTTGATCCGGTCTTTCTTTGATAAAAACTGGACTTTTATTACCGTTTGTGGTTTGATGCTATCCGACTCCCCCAGCTCAGATGTGAATTGTGCTTCTATCTCTGATGCGTGGGTCGTAAAAAATTACACGGGGTCGGTGTTAAAGAGTCGACGACGTAGTTCCCAATTTCTAAAGTTACCTTGAAACCGTCTGGCCGCCCTGCAGTCCGCTTTTTGAAATATATCAGGAGACGTGTAGGCTTTGATCGCGTCTATGAAGTTTTTCCTAAGGTACCGACCTTGTCTACCCGTAGCAACCGGTTGTAAGTTGTTGTCTTAAGTGATTTTTTGTAATTCGTAATAGTTCTTCTTCGTTAATTTTTGAAATTGAGCCTGGTCAGTACGTATAGCGTTAATGTAGTCTTTGCACGTGAGCCTTGGTTTGGTAGCGTGATGTTGTACTCAGTGACATAGTCCATTAGGATAGATTTACGCCACCTAGTAAAGTTTTTCTACGGGTCTAAAATCCGGTCTCACTATCTTTTATTTTATAAATAAAGATATTTTCCTTTTTTCGATGTTCGACACTCCTTACCCCGATATTTATTGACACCGTTTTGTTGGCATTTTCTGGGTGTACGAATTGTACAACTGGGTTTATATTTATTGCGTTAAAAAAACAACCCCTTTTGCATTCGTCGCGGTTTCTTTCAGTTTTACCGTGGGGGTATAGACGTCTGCATTGTTCGCATTTGTGCTTATCTTTACCATGTTTGCAAGTTACCCAGCGTTTATGACGATCTAAGCGCAACAAACAGTCAGTTGTTAATTCCCCCATCTTCTTTTTTAGTTTGAACTCTACAAACGTTTTTTCTTTGTGACATTCTTTACACATTTTTACTTTTTTTTTTTGGTCGACCAAGTGATTCGTTGGCTTAGCCGCGCTGCCAGCCTTGGCCCAGTCTCGTTTGTCGGTATTGAGACCGGACCCAAGGCCGCGGGTTCTTTGTTAGGTGGCGCGCGGTGGAGCGATGGGTGAGTGTTAGAGACATGGCGCAAAACTGGCAGGTTTCGCTTTACATGTATTTAACTCCACAAACATGAAAACAAATTTTCACGTACATACTGTACGTATTTCACGAACTCACGCGCGTGCGTCGGATACTTTTGATGTACGTATGAGACAGCTGGATACATGGCACAGAAGGCATGGAGGATTTCAGTCACGTGATTTTTGACGATCAGCGTTCAATTTACGCAGATGTGCGCAGAAACGCGCGCGCCTGCGAAGTCTCTCAACTTTCTGACGTACATGAAACTGTCAATAGAAATACACACAGATTCGAAAGTGAACGCACTTCTGCGGCCATGGTAGGCTTTTTGTAATTCCTTTGTATCATGTTACGTCAGGTGAAAATCCTCCATGCATTTACACGTCCATGTACATGTACATGTTTAATACTGGTCGTCACCTAGCGCCTTGATCATTGATTTTGACCTGAGCCGGTGACGACGATGTAACACCCTTAACCCTAACAGTCCCAAATCCTCAAATTTCAATATGATTTTACATACATCCTAGGGGGTTAGGGTTAATGAAACCAAATTCCATTGGTTACTGGCGACAGGTTATGTTTAATGAACAGATAGTTGCACTGACGGAAACTTACAGAAAATGCTCCTTTTTCTCCAACCAGGATGACTCCTTGGAGCTGGATTTTTGATGATGATTTCCTGGACTGTTCCTCTTCATTTTGCCACGGATAACTTTGACCCAAAAATGCCTCTGAAACTGTTTTTCAGAGAGGGGAAACATTGTGTGGACGTGTGCGAGTCCACACAACGCCGTCGCACCCTACATTATGTCGACTTCTTTGGGGCAGAGGTCCACACTATGTATGCTTTGCGGCACAAGTGTGTGTAGCAGTACAGTCCGGTTTTATTCTTGCCTAAATTTGAGGTAGCTATAATACGAAAAGCCCAATCATGCCAATGAAGTACAAATTTTCAGCCTGACACTAATTCGAAATAACGAATTATTTACTCGAAATAATGAATTATGCACTGATCCACAGGGCCCCTAGATGGCGCTCCTTATTTCCCCACATCAAATCCAGACACGTCAGGAGCTAGGCGCCCATGGCCATATACCAGGTACGAAATGGGACCAAAAAAGCAATCCCTATGCACGCTCCAGCGTATTGTCACTTAAAACAAAAGAATTCCTGAGATACCAGTATAACAATGACCATCACAAAGGCGGGGGGTGCTCTCTGTCCCATAGTTTGCTTCATATGTATGGCCGTGGGAATCACAGAGATGAATATGCGATTCGGGTGCACAAACGCAAATGGGCTAGAAATATGTCCGCCGAGCTCATGAATAAACGTTTTACACTCGAAATGTTCAATATTAGAGAGTCCTGGAATTGGGGAATTGAAGAAATGTCACTGAACCTCTGGCCCGGACTCACGGCTTCCAATTCTGAGCAAATTGGACGCAGTCAGGTGCGACAGTAGCACAATTTAGCCGAGGGATGCATTTTGAAAATGGCTACTTTTCCGGGCAGTGAAATATCCTTCATTTTAGGGGTCGTCTGCTTTGGGTGAGAATTTCTCAAAAATTCATTGGTCATCCCACTAAAGATTGAAAGGAAAATGAAAGACGACATGTCGAACATCATTTTGCTATCCAGCTTGGACACCTGTGAGAGTTGTATTTTAAAAATTATTTTGAAATAAAAGGATTTATCATCGGTTTCTATGTGAATTTATTTTTAGAGGTACGCCCTTAGATGAAGCATGCATGTTTCGAATCATACGCCATAGAAACCAACGCAAAACCTCCCTTTACTTCGTTACTTCGAATTAGTGATTCGTTATTACGAATAAGTAATTCGTGTTCTCAGATTAGTAATTCTTGATTTCGGATAAGTAATTCGTTATTTTGAATTAGTAATTCGTTATTTCGAATAAATTATTAGTTATTTCGAATTAGTAATTCCTTAAAACGAATTAGTGTCAGGCTGAAAATATATACTTCATTGGCAAGATTGGGCTTTCGTACTATAATAGTGGGTATTTATAAATCGCGCGTAAATTGTATCCCTTACTCCCCCCCCCCAAAGAAAAAGTTTCGTTCGGCCTGATAATGTCGTTTTTGTTAATTACCACAGTATTTTTCCTCGGCTAATCGTTTAATCAAACATAAAAAAGAAAAGAAAAAGAATTAGATCATTAAGAAAGACCTTCAAGATTTAAGTTAGAAAAGGGGGCATCGAAACCCATGGCACATGCAGTTCTTGGTTCCAAAGATGGAACCGTTTTCTGAAAATGACTCCAACTTAACTGGGGACTGAATGTTTCACCCGTAAGGATCCTCCCCAAGCAAGGTATACCGATTCTGAAATGCTGAAGCTTTTCATGGGCAACGTGTCTAGTGACGGTTGAACGTTGGTGGTCCGGTTTATGGGTCCGAAAAAGTGTGACTTCAAATGTTCGCCGGTGCATATTTTGTGGGGCTTTAAAGATGTAGTACTTTTTCTTAAAATTGAGCTCCTGGTTTTGAAATAACTGTCCACTTTCTTTTTTCTCCCAAAGAGGAGACAAAACCCTGATTTCTACAATAAAGCACAAGAGCATATACATGTACACCCAAGTAGGACACTGACAATGGTTGTCGAAACGGTTTCTCCGGGGAACAACATTTTTGGGGGGGGGGGGAAGAACAAATTCCGGCGGAGGGTGGGGGCACTCATTAACAACGAACTGATAAACTATTGAAATTTTCAGATTGATCGATTTTGAGGGTTTTCTCAAACAAATTGGGGGTTTTGCCTGTCCTTGTTTCATTTTGGGAGGGTTCTTTCGCTTTTTTTCTTTTCCTTTTTTTTTCGTTTTTATTTTCATTTTTTCCCAATGGGTGCGGCATCTGACACCATAAAGAGAACCTTTTCAACAAATGCCATTGAATTTCAAACAGTTTATTTGCGATTTTCTCTGAACATTACCGAGCCTTCAATTATCAATTATTTTTAGCTTTCACATTCCATATTTTATACACGCAAGCGATCAAAAACGCACTTTTACCCAAATTCCCTGAAATCATTATTGCGGCTTTCGAGCAAAAAATGTATGATACTCGGATTTGCATAAAACAGTTTGGGGTTTCTCGTATTATTCTAAAGACATCTGTCCAAAATGTTCAAAGCGATAAGTTTCATATACATTTTTTCAGTAATATTTATTTCCTCTTCATGGTTGGGCTTATTACATGAGATGTAAAAGAATAACATATCAGAAGATTAATTCAAGAAGAGGTGGCCAATCCTAAAAAGCAAAAGCTTGTGTAAGGCATGCCATGTTGAACTACTGTCAAAAACGGTGTCCTCCCAAGTACAAAACAAAGAAATTGCCTGGGGTGGGTTAGTTCAGTCTGCCAGCCAAAATTTTGGAGATCAACTAAATCACTGGTATATTCTCATTGTACAAGTTAACCACAACCACGAAAACCTTTAGTGTTAATGCAAGTGTGTACCAGCACAATGTGAATGTGTTTAAATGAGATTTGCATTTTTATTTCACGAGAGGTGATAAAATTATGAAATGCACTCAAAGTGATAATATGAAAATACTTTGTCCCTAAGCTTCATAATGTTTATTTATAGTAAGCTTATTAAGCTGAAAAGCTTAATACGCTTCTATTTATATTATTATTTAGTATTTATAGTAAGTTTATTAAGCTGATAATCTCAATACCCTTCTTAAGATTATAAGTTTAATTAGCTTGTAAGTTAGTAAAACATCTAATCATGATTCCATGCTTTGGTTTTGCAAATTTTCTAGAAGGGTACTGAGTTGTAAGGGGAGACAGACTGTTTATAAATATAATAACCACTGAAGCTCATATAACTACAGTGTTTCAGTGAAATAATTTCTCACCAATTGAAATAAATACTTTTTCTCTTACTTTATACAAAATGCAAACAAAATATTTGCAATACTTTCACGCTCTTTTCATCTTAATTTGTAACTTGCTTAGTTCTTTTTCTTTAGAAATGTAATATTTGGTGAGTAATTTCACCTTCGGCTTCAATACAGGTAAGGCATGATTACATTTCACAGTGATTTCAAATTGTTAGTTGGCACGGTGAGAGGCTATCTTGAAATTTAAAACCTCTGGACAATCTGGAAAATGCTGTAAAACACTGAACAAAAGCAGTCTTCAAACTGATAAATTAAGCTCTTTACAGAAAAGATTCCCCATGTTATCCAGCTGAATTAAGACATATATGTTTACCTACAAAATTCATCGGAACACTAGATCATCTTACAATTGATTGGGAGAGAATTTTGATCAAAATGGGTTTCTGTAACTATATGCTACACTTCTGTACAATGTTCCACTCTGAAGGCTGACATGAATTTAGGACCAATTATCCTATTGAGGTATTGTTCAACAGAAAAACGCAGGTTTTCAGTGCTGTTCAAACTTGCATTTTGAGGACTAAAAATGAATACAGACTTTTTACTATCAACAGCCATCCTCCATTGGGTCATACCATGGTAATTGACATACATTCTTGATTAATATCAGTAATTAGGGTCTTCTGAATTTTCCGAAAGCTACTGTGAATGTTCTTGGCAACTTCAACCCTTGTGCTGGCCTATGAGCTTAAGTTGGCATGTTTTCACAGAGCAGCAATGGCCCTCAGTCTGAAATGACGTTACCCTGTCCCCACACAGGTTCATGGAAGTTTGGCACAGGCCATGCTGAGCATATCCGACCAGTTTCTGTGGGAATGTACAGTCTTCAGAGTTGGAACAACGCCCAGCAGCATCTTTCTCCATCACAGGGGGGGGGGACTTCTACCATGGGGCAAATATTGTGCTATATGACGACTGTAGGCATTGCTTAACTTTGAATGCTCCACTGGATGGTTGAGCAGTCTGAGCCTCCAGCAGACAGGAACGTTGTGGTGTCAGGGAGGAATCGCACGCAGGGGACAGCCATGCTGTGGGCGTGGACACTTTTCCTGGCAGTCTGATATGGAATAAAGTTCTTTATTGATTCACTACAGGAAGAAACACCATGTTACCTTAAACAGAGTAAAACCAGCAGGACTTCAGAACAAGTTGATGAAGCACCTTTGTACTTTTTCTGACCACAGCTGGCAAGGGGAGGGATTGCTCAGAGAACTCATCTGTCAAGCATGTTATGAGACCTACTACGAGTATATATCTTTGAAAATTCAATTCAATCCAATACATGGTTTGATTGTAACAGTCATTTGTAGTGCATGGCCTTGAGCATGTCATTAGGAATGGTTGGGCTGACCTGTCACAGAAAATGGTGTTTGGACATATGAATCATGTCCCATATTCATAAAACTGTTTTAAAAAGACTGCAAAATGTTACTGGAAGAACTCTTCCAAAGATTTGGTTTTTTATTTCCATTTTGCAACAATCACAAAATTACATTGATAAAGTTATTGGTAAAGTTCTTTATGTTATAACTTGTTTCATTTTAAAAAGTAGGCGCAAAATGGGGGTGACATCTAGAGGAGGTAGAATCCTCCCTGTAACCTACCACTCAGACTGCTGAGTGATGCAGTTAACAAATATAATGTTTCACATTACGATGATAATGGATTAAGACTATATTGGAGTAAGTGAGAAGTGAGAATGGGCAGATTCCACCCCCTACACTTTAAGGTCTCTCTCTGAAAAAAGAGACTGCATGTGTAAAGAAATATAAAAATACACAATGTCACAACATATTCGAAACAGGTTTAGGGATCAGCCCCATGAAAATTTTAGGAGTCAAATGGGGAGGATGGTGTTATTGTCTTTACCTGACAGGTGTTTCTGTAGGGATCGCAATCCAAAACCAGACTTACCAGCTGGATTGTGCAGGGGTACCTATGGAGAGATATCACACCATTGTCAAGCCCAGTGGCCAACAGGTCCCGTTCCTCACTCCAGTCAATGCTCCTTACCACATGGCTGTCTTCATCGGTTTCCCACACACCTGTTGACAGAATACATTCCAAATGTCAGTGAAGACACAGCATACCATGAGCCACAGTACAAGGGTAATGCAAAGAAAATTACTACAACTACTTACTATGAAGACCAGTATATGACATAGCAAAAACCTTTTTCACTTGTGTTCGTATACCTTAGCAAGATTTAATTTTATGTGCATCTTCATCACCTTAGCATTGAAGATTTTGCTTTTGTGTAAATATGCCAGTGTTGTAACGAGTCACTCAGTTTGGAGACTCGAGTCAAGTCATTTTAACATGGTGACGCGTCAAGTCATTGGATCAACAAGTCAAGCCGAGTCACTTTGTTTAGTTGAGTTGAGTACTGAGTTCGAGTCAATTGGAGTCACAAATTTTTGAACCAAAAACAATAAAAACAACTACAATACATGTAAGTCACTGTTTAGTATTTTTATTTTCATTTAGATATACAAAAAATAAATTCGAGTGACAGGTATCTAGCCAACTAAAATTTCGCTTTTAATTCTTTTGAGACTTGAGTCTTATAAGCTTGTACTTGAGTCGAATCTCTATAAGAGATTCAAGTCGAGTCACTTGGTTGCAGAGACTCAAGCCGAGTCATTTATCCAGTGGGACTCAAGTCAAGTTGCCAAAAATTGTGACTCAAGTCGGACTTGAGTCAAGTCATTGACTCGAGTCATTACCACTCTGACATACACCTTAGCTTAAGTTTGTGTACATGAACGCAAAACCTTACTATGTAAAGCAATACCTTGCCAAAGTAAAAGTAAAATCGTGCTGAGGAATATGTATACAATACATGTAATTTTCTTTTTTCATATACAGGTCTTCATAGCTTACAAACTTGTTTATTTAGGAAATTTATGGTCATCCTATCTGTCTGGACTTCAAAACTTTGTCACCAGCACAGAAGAGATCAGTATGATTGAGTGTCATCTGTTATTCAACAGGCCTGCACTCCAAAACAAAGTGATGAACATGCAAAAGTAATGTGCTCCCATCCACTAGCCAGTAAGAGTTGACTCGAGTTAAAAACTGTGGCGTCATTTGGAGCGGAAATGTGCTGCACGCTCTTTTGATTGGTTAATAGGTGTCAGCTGATCATTCTTTGTCAGATGACCAGATCAGCTGACCAGCTGCTGGCAACCTCCATGGAAAGCATGTACAAGAGTGTTTCAGACTGGGAAATATGCTTTGCTCTAGTTTCGCATGGTACATACACAAACGAATACAAGCTGACTTCAACCCAACTACACTTATTTCAGCCTATACAGAATGGCATGTGCATGGGGCCAGGGATACGTCATCTATAAGCAAACATCTGTTACCTAGACTAAGAAGAGACAGGTTGGTAGGAAGTTTTCAATCAGGCTTGTGTACATGTATGTGCCCCAGCCCACATGCAAAAGACCATACATAAATCTGTGCACATGTGCTTTATTTCCCATCATAAGGACAATCATTACTAGGTGAAAGCACGCCATCTATTGTTCCCGCTCCAAGTGGATTGCAGTATGTACATGTATGTCTTGCATACTTAAATTACAAGACTGCATTCTTCATACAGAGATGCCCCAAATTGTTTTAATCATTTTCACTGCTAGGGCACTGACATCTTTGCACTTACCAGCCACAGTAAATCCTGCTGTACAGTTGTGTGATTTCCAAGTGATGTTCCTGTAGTCAGAGGAACAGCTAAGTGCCTGGAAATTTTGTGTGTCCCCTGAAAAATTGCCAGTAATTAAATGATTAAAATGGTTTATATGATTTAAAATTAAATGATTGAAATGATTCATGCAAAAAACAAAATAAAAAACAATAAATCATTTGCAGAATCAGTTCCAGCCACCTCACCTTGCCAATTCAACACAATAATTTTCTTTAAACTGATTGTGTAGCTAAAAAGGAAATTGCTCCAAACTGGAGCAACAAATAAACCAACTCACAGCATATGTATTCCTGGCTCAGTGAACTGCTTTGAAGTACAAGCCTGCCAGAAATCTCTTCCTTAGACCAGTCAAATCCAGTTACAGGAGTCTGGTGACCCTCACACTTTCCCATTGGCTCAATTTTTCTTCCAGTATCTGTTGCTTTCAAGATGAGAATGATGTCACCGCAGCTGGCAGCAAAGACCTCTCCTCCTACATGCGGAAGACATCAAGGAAAATTTGGAAAATTCCAACTAAAACTCCTCTTCAAAAACAACCAGGTCGACTCACAACCACCGACTTGAGCAAGAAATCTGTCTTGTGTGAATGTATGCGTGCATGTTTACTTCTTGCAGCTAGCATCCTCGACCAGGTTTAACTGGTTGGAGTATCTGCCCCGAGCTGAAGTGCACCCCAACCGGCGAAAAGAAAGACAGGTTCTTGTAAACGTTCTGCGTGTACGCAAAGACCATACATGCCTCATCATGGCGTGCCTATGCGGTGAGTACCAAAAACATGCCCTCTTTTGTTCTGCTCGGAGCAGATAATTAGTACAGCACAGCTTCCAACTGGCATTGTTTCCATGGAAAGTCTTGTCTTTGCTCTCTCACTTGTCGAACTGAACCTTAAGCCTAGCTAAGCAAGTCATTCACGGTCAACATATGTATTACTCACTGCAAGTATGAATGGTAAAAATGCGATGCAAGAATGAAACAAAATTATTCATTTCTAGGTAAGATTGCAAGCCTGAAAAATGTTGTGCTTCTTTTATTTAGAACACCAATAATCTTTATGAAGAGCATAAATTTCTGCACATTTTTCTTTAGCTTTTTTTGTTAATTTTTATTAACAGGTCTTGCCCTTACATCGACATGTTCATAACACTGTATGCTCGGTGTCTATGAGAGACTGGGCTTGCAAAAATACAAGCAATACTCGGGTGGAATTCGAACCCATGACCTCCTTCTTACTTGTGCAGACATCTTAACCACTGGACTACCGAGCTTGCCAGGGTCAGCTGGGTGGCCCGAGTCAGATGTAGCAGCAGGTACGGCAAACTATTTCAAGATGTACTTTGCATCAGGGAAATGTTAATTTTTTAATAACATTATTAAAAAATAACATCTCCCCGTCACAAGGTACATCTTGAAATCGTCGTATCTTAATGTGTCCATTTGTTAGTCAATTAAAATATTACCAGCAGACGGCAGCCTTTCCATATCAATATGTTTTGGCCCATTTCGTATCCCGCGTGTTTGACCATTTCACTCCTGTTAACTTCACTCTTTGGCTTGCCATGCGGATGTGATGCACACAATGAAAAGGCATACTCAGAATGTGGCAGTTGGGACAGAAAGCCAAGAGGGAGGGGGATCGACTTACCAGGGGCAAATTTAATGAATGACACAGGGTGCCGACCAAGTTTGATACGGTTTGTCTCCTGGACCTCCTCTTCCCCAACTGTCAGTACAACCATGCTGCCAAAACAAACAGCACTTTATAATTCTTAATGTTCAGTCCCTGATTGTTTTCACAACAGACTAGAATGCAAACACCACTCTTCTATGTTATGATTCCTTTCCCCCTTTTCCTTACCCTATTCATGGCTTTGTGCATTGGTACATATTTGTAAAGCAGATTTCAGTTCAAGAAAATGCTCAGGGGTTTGAGCCTTACCAAAGTTTTTTTTTTCCTTCTTTCCAAAAAACAAAGATACAACATACACCTAAACTATCAGCTCTGATATAGCTGTAAAGCCCAGTTCCCTGTGGCTCAATGGGGGGAGGGAGGTGAGCAGCATGAGCTCTTTAGGGGGTAAATTCCAGTTTGCGCCCCCAAACAACAAATCACTGGCTTACATGTATTATACACACTGCTTGACCAACACAGTCTGAGATGGAATTAAGACAGTTTACTCATAATGAGTCACAAGTCACATGAGCATTCATCCAGAAATCTGGCTTTCTTTTCAGTTCAAATATCCATGTTTATTATTTGGAAGAACAAAGAAATATCAGCTAGTGTAAATTCATTTATTGCTGCACTCACTGGCTGAGCAAAATGTTGATGTCATCTTTTAACATGTAAATTGAGGAAAGGAAGTACAGTGTTTCTTGGAGGGCAAGCAATACAAAGTAATCAGAGGTTTCCTGAGGTTTACAACCACTATCACAGGTCAAAAGGTTAGTTCCTGTTCTGAACTGAAAATTCTGAGGTTCTGGGTTTGAGAATTTGAACTTCAGTAACATTTTCGGGCATTTCTGAAATGTTCATGACTTTTCAAGTCTGCCTCTCCAGTCTTATCAAAAAGGCAACACGGTACAAGAGAATGAGACTCTGGGGAGTAGTGGTAAGTGCCCTAGCCATCCCCAGAAGCAAAATGTCAATTTACTGACTGTTTCTCAATATGTACAAATCCTGTCCTTCCACTCAAAATCATGGTGTGCATCAATTCTGAAATCTTCATTCAGAAAATGAAATCTGAAATTTCATGCACTGAAGGTGTAATGCTGAAACAAGGGCAAAGTGAAATAATGTATACGTGTACATGCACAAGGTGCTAAATGCTAGGAGTGCCATTACTGGATTTGTGCCTGGACTGTGTTTTCAGGCTTCCCAATATGCATTTGAGGAGTAAACTTTCAGTCAGGAGGTTTTTCCACTGATTTTTACCACACCACTAGTGATGTCATGAGAGAATTTTCTTACAGTGGGAATTACACTGGGAACAAACTACAAAACAAAATCAAAATCATTCAGTTGTATGAAAATAATGTGTGAAGGAAAAACAGGAGAATTAGGTGGAACTTATCAGTGTTACCTGTTTCCTTTACTGGTCATGAGATGGGAACCATGCAAATCATGTCATGCAGTGATATCACCACAGCAACAAGGCAGGGAAGGAGGTGCATAAATGGCGAATAGGGAGGAGAAGGAAAGATGTGGGGAGGTTATCAAATCAATGCACGGCAAAAACAGGCTGAGAGAACATGTGCTACAAATGTTTTCATGTTTACATCGTATGCCTTTTATAGGGTCCAATTTCATGTGGTGAAAGTGATCTTAAAAAATAATTTTACATGGGAATATTTGGGCTCATTTCAAGAGTTTACTAGGCAACTAAAGAAAAACACATGCGTGCACTTAATAAATAGAGCTGTCTGGGTGCAGTATGTTAGCATCAGCCATGCAGACCTGTTGTTTGACAAATGATTTTAAGGTGGCATGTTGCTAAGTTCTGCACTCCAATCCTTCACATTTCCTTCTCAGCAATATCCAATATCGAGCGAACGGGCCAAATGTACTGCAACTTTGTTAGGACAAAAAAAATTGCTGGCAGGGCCTGATTGAGTGGGTCATCGGCCCTAGGCACCAAGGTGCTCAACAATGTGGGTCCTACAGTACTCTGCCCAAGGCAAATCAGTACCAATTTCATAGCAACAGTAAGCAGTGGAGACTTGCATTTCATGTTGATGTCAAGCTACACAGCATCATTATACATTACAAGCTATGTACTCAATAGTTCGAAGCTTTCCCCCAAAAATAAAAATTTGAAGAGATATACATGTACATGTATGTGAACCAGTTAATGTTCATGTGGATGAGGAGTTTTATGAAACACAGTGGTGTTTTCTGTGGGCCCTTGCATGTTTCGAAGCCCCCCCCCCCCAATTTTTTTGAAGGTCCTATAACTGGATAATCTGGCCTTATCATTGGCAGTCTGTTGGGCAGGCCTGGCATTTGCTACGAACTTTATTCTCTTGGGGGTAAACACAACATCAGTGCATGGCATGCCATCCTGTATTTTGCAAACACCTGCAGGCAAGCAATGTACTAAAGGATGTTTTACAGGAAAAATATGAATATGCACATCAACTCTATTCATGACATGGGGATAAATTCCTATGTAAGTCAGCACACTTTCAAGGACAGCTATAATGCTTTGGAATCTACACAGACAGCAGAGAAGATGTACAAACTTACTGTCCATCCTTGGCCCCAATTATGATGATTTCTCCATCTGGGCCGACGTCCATGCAAGTGCTGTTAATACCCTTCACAACATACTTCCAGATCGCCTTGTGGAGAGCAGCGTCGTACAGGCAGACAATGCCATCGTAGGCAGCTGTGAAGAAGTGGTCCTTTTTGACAGGGTGAGGAGCGATGCATCTCACCTCATCATAGTGACCCTAGAACCATTTAAACAAGTCATTTGACTCCTCTAGGTCAATCATAACACTATACAAGACAATGACCATGAAGTTTAACGATGCAACTTGAGTCTACTTTAACCCAGGCTGAAAAGGATAAGATAATGCTATGTTTAGCAAAAGTGTGATAAATTATTGCACTTCTCTATGTGTTAACCACTCCCAGCCGGGGACTCCGAAATCGGGGCCGTATGGTTTATATGCGTGGCCGGGGTCTCTGAACTCAGACAAAGGAAACAGGGCCCTGTAACAAAAGACCGTACTCCGAAAAAAAGACCAGGCTGCTGGGCATTACCGGCATTTTTCACTCTCAAAAGTGGTGATAATCCAGCGTTATTTTGAAACTGTATACCAGGGTTTGGGACATTGAGAGCAAGCGGATTACCACCGGGGACAAAAGTGCTCCACCACCGCAGCGATGAGCCACACAGCACCGCTGCACGCTAGTCTGGCCCCTATTGAAAAGAGGTCAGCAGCGCACTGTGCCAGGTTCGTGAACAAAAGACAGTTG